GACAGCGCTGCAGGAGTTGCAGCGCAAGATAGAGGCCGCTCGAGCGATTGGTTTATACGCGCCCAGAGTTCTCGCCCTTTGCCAGCGCAATAGGCACAAATGTGAGAGAGCCGCTCTGCCCTGTAAGGTTCAGGCCACCATCGTCGTGCACGACTGGGAGGTTCTTCAGGGGCCGATACCGTACAGGTGCAGAGCATGTTTTACGTACGCCCGATCTTATAAGGCAGCCGTAGCACGAGAGAGACAAGCTTGCCAGCCTCTGGCCAGCGCATTCAGGCGCGGCCTTGAAGGCATCCACGCCAGCCACCAGATGGCAATAGCGCATTTTGCCGTGCCAGTAGTCTTTTGCTTAGTTTGTGGGCGCTACGCCCAGTATGCTTTCAGAGGCTTGCCAGCCACTTGTCCTGGACGCCCTCCCAAGAGTGGCGGACGTGCGAACATCAGAAATCGTCTTCTGGCTGGCAAGCATCCAAGGTTTTCAGATTTTGCTTCAGAGTCCGAGCGGTACAACACCGCAGAAATTCAAAGGCAGCAGCGGGCGCAGCGTGAACTCGCAGCAGCGCGCGCAGCGATGCCACTCCCGAGTCAGCCGCACCCACGCTCGGAGCCCCGCCCACAGAGGTTCGAGGCTGGTCGAGGGCGCCAGCAGCTTTCCAGCAGGCGCCTAGAGGAGGATGGGGAACTCATCCCTCCTGTGGGTTTCGGCGAGGACGACTCGGGATCCTCGGACTAGGCCCCCGTCCAAGGCCCACCGCCACCTCGGCGGTGCTGCGCACTTGTGAGGGGCCACCCGCCCGACGGTCTCTGTCCTGGGTCTCCGCCACTGGCACGCCCAGGCACCGTCGGGCCACCCCACCTGGAGGGTGACTGGCCAGAGCTGCTTGCGTATGGCCCGAGTATGAAAAAAAAAAATCGTCATCCTCCTCCTCCTCCTCCTCCTCCTCGTCCTCGTCCTCCTCCTCCTCCTCCTCCTCCTCCTCCTCCTCCTCCTCCTCCTCCTGATCATCATCATCATCATCATCATCATCATCATCATCATCATCATCATCATCATCATCATCATCATCATCATCATCATCATCATCATCATCATCATCATCATCATCATCATCAGCATCATCTGCAGGGGAAGCCTAGCAAAACCGATGTTGATGACCCTGTTACCCTTCCCATGTTGGCTTGGGCAACGCAAACAGCGCTGGAGGACGGGAGCAGCAGCAGCAGCAATCAGTAATCTCACCAGGCTGCATCAGCGCGCCCCACTGCGCAGCAGACCCAGGACACCTCCCAATCAGATGCGATGGTCCTCCCTTTGCTACCTCTGTGTCTCGTCTGTGGCGCTCGGGCGCGCCCAAGCCGAGGGAATGCAGGAGGGCCGCATCCGGCAAGGGCACAGGCCGGCGTTTTCAATCCGCCAGCCGCTGCCAGGCGCTTTGCGCCGCCCAGCACTGGAAGACCATGGGCAAAGGTCGCTGGGTGAGCTGATGGCTGCTGCAGACCGAAATGAGGTGGCCAGTCGGAAACGCTCGCGCTAGTTAAAGCTAGCTTTGTGTCTGGCTACCAACTCACAGCCTGCAGCAACCGGCCCATCGTGCGGATCTCATGACCAGTGGCAAACGACCCCTTTTCTGAGCCGCGAGCTTGAGCAGCAGAGCGACTCTGATCCTGTCGGCCGCGTGCACAGAAGCTCAGACGAAGCCCAGGCCTTCGCTCAAGGAAAAACCTCACCATTAACCCAGACGCCGTCCGGGCCCGTGGCCACCGCGATAGCCCTGTCCTCGACCGCATACGTGGGCAGCTGAGTGGCAGTGCTTCATTCGACCGCGCATGCGCCGTCGCAGTAGCAACAGCTGGCAACAGCTGGGAGGGGGGGAGAGCAAGAGTGTCAAGCTGGGCATCGTCAGATGAGCAGCTCTGCTCGGCCCAAGCACCCCAAAACCAACCCAAGAGACCCGGATGGGGGAGGAACGGCGAGAGCAGGAGGGAGGGAGAGGGGAAGAACAATAAGTCCAAACTTGCCGTTGGGCATCACAACCACCAATGTGCCAATCCAATGACAGGCGGCCATGTCATCACCCGAGAAATTCAGCAGCTGCGCCCATGAGGCCATGGCACACGCAGAAGCGGGACCACAACCCAGGGCGCCCGCGGCCAGAGCGTTGTGAAGTCGGAGCTCATGGCCAACGCGATGTCAAAACCGTCGCAAGCGACCCCCTTGCCTCCTCGTTCTCCTCTTGCCATGAACGATCTGCTGACCTTGGGTTCCCTCCATGGGGCTGCTGCCCTCGTCTTCGATCCCTCCTCCTCCTCCTCCTCCTCCTCCTCCTCCTCCTCCTCCTCCACCTCCCTCCTGCTCATCAGCATCATCATCAGCATCAGCATCAGCATCAGCATCAGCATCAGCATCAGCATCAGCATCATCATCATCATCATCATCATCATCATCATCATCATCATCATCATCATCATCATCATCATCAGCATCAGCATCATCATCATCATCATCATCATCATCATCATCATCATCAGCATCAGCATCATCATCATCATCATCATCATCATCATCATCATCATCATCATCATCATCATCATCATCATCATCATCATCATCATCATCCATCATCATGATCATGATCATCATCAGCATCATCATCATCATCATCATCATCATCATCATCATCATCACCATCAGCAGCATCATCATCAGCATCACCATCATCACCAGCAGCATAATCAGAATCGGCATCATCAGCAGCATCAGCATCATCGTAATCAGCATCATCACCATCAGCATCACCATCATCATCATCGTCGTCGTCATCGTCATCATCATCAGAAGCATAATCGTCATCATCATCAGCATCATCATCATGGTCATCATCATCATCAGCATCATCAGCATCATCATCATCATCATCATCATCATCATCATCAACATCAACAGCAACAGCATAGCCATGGTCACAATCATCATCAGCATCATCATCAGCATCATCGTCATATCAGCAACACAGCCATGATCACCGAATCATCATCATCATCATCATCATCATCATCATCATCATCATCATCATCATCATTAGCAGCATCATCATCAGCAGCATCACCACCACCACCACCACGATCATTATCATCATCGTCATCAGCATCACCACCATCATACTACTATTAACACAATAACTAAGACTAATGCCAACAAGAATGATAGTGTGTATCATCATTGTCAGCATCAGCATCATCACCATCATCCGCAGCATCAGCATCAGCACCAGCATGAACATCAGCATCATCATCATCTCAATCAGCATCATCATCAGCATCATCAGCATCAACAGCACCGTCATCGTCACCATCACCATCATCATCAGCATCATCATCGCCATCGTCATCGTCATCATCAGCATCATCAGCATCATCATCGTCATCGTCGTCGTCATCGCAAGCAGCATCATCATCATCATCATTATCATCATCATCATCATCATCATCATCATCATCATCATCATCATCATCATCGTCATCATCATCATCATCATCGTCATCATCGCCGCCATCATCATCGTTTGCATCGTCAGCATCATCATCACCACCATCAGCATCAGCATCAGCATCATCATCATAATCATCAGCATCATCAGCATCAGTATCATCATGATCATCCTCAACATGATCCTCGTCATCATCATGTTCCTCATTCTCATCTTCACACTCATTCTCCTCATCATCGTCTTCCATCCCTGCACTGACAGGGTAGAGCCCACACTACAAGACCTCCTCCTCATTATCCTCCTGCTCCTTCTAGGCCAGACTTCAGAAACACCAGCGGGAGTTCAGTCTGAAGGATGCCTGCAACCAGATTAACCCCAGCGTCGATCGTAGAGGGCACAAGAACCACCCTAATAGTAAGCACCTGCTACAATCGAGTGCATTTGGTGAATGCACCGAATGAAGGAACCGCACAGGAAGGGGCGTATCCTGACCACTTGCGCGGTGGATTCTGACACCACACAGATCACTCGACCTTGAACGATTGCGGTTGTCCGATCGCACGGAATCGTTTGGCATCGGCGGCTTCCGGGCCGCCGCCTGCGTCCAACCTTGCACGCCTGCGCTGGGGCCGCCGGCCCGCCGACACGACACGAGCCTGCCCTAACCCAAGCGTCGACGGCAGAAGCAAAACAGGAAGAGAAGAACAACTGCACAGACGTGAACCGTCGGAGGTCATCGCAGAGTTCTTGGATCAACGCTGGAGCTCCCCTGGCGCGCGAAGCGCCCGGGGGGCGGCGCAAGAGTAACCGCTAGGAAAGTCCAACGCCGATCCAACTAATCCGTGCGGACCTCCGAAAATTCACGCACATTCCCCAAGCATTGCTTGTACTTCCGCTTAACAGGAGGTTCTTGCTTGGTTGCCTGAGTAACTGGCCGGTTGGAGCGGAGTTCGCCGGGTGCCCAGTTGGTTAGAGGAACAATTAACGGACCAGGCGCCGATCCAAGAAATCCGCGCGGAGCGCCGAAAGTGTATGTTCATGCAGTTGTTTCATCTTCGAATGGCGGAATTCGCCTGGTGCCCAGTTGGTGCCCGGTTGATGGCCGCCCGTGGGCGCCTCGTGGACGCCCCCTGCGCTGGGTGAGCGCCCCGCTGGCGCCCGCCCGTGGGCGCTGCTCGTGGGCGCCACGTAGGCTGCATCGCACATATAACATCGCAGAGTATGGTAGAACACACTGCTTGGGGTCCACGCTGGTTAACTGATAGCTATGTGCAGTTTCTATATATATACATATATATATATATATGCACATAGTTGCACTTATATACATGTGTGTAGGTACTGCCGTGTGGAGAACATGCATGTGCGATGCAAGACAATACAAATTGCGTGAGGCTATGGAAGAGGAAGGAGTGGAAGTCCTTACAACCAGCGTACTGGAGGAGGAGCAGCAGTAGCAGCGGCAGGACCTCCTCATCCTCCTGCTGGCTTTGGGGGGGGTGCGGCGGCCACCTGCAGGAAGGCCGCCACGAGCGCACCGAGGCGTCCGTCGGCCAGCTCTGCGGGTTCTGAAGGGGGGGGGAACGCGGGGGGGGCAGAGGAGGGAGGAAGCATCAACGAGCACCATATCAGCGGCGACCGACTTGCAGGAGTAACAAGAGAGAGGAGCAGAGGGAGGAAATGAACGAGGACGAGGGGCAGGAAGGCAGGGAGGAGTGGCGGACGCAGAACTCAGGACTGGGGACTGCAACGGCGATGTCCCGCTCGCCCGACGATGGCGGCCTGTGCTCCGCACAGGACTCGGAAAACTCCTTTACGAACACGGCGCCCGTGCACCGTACCATGCTTGGACTCCCGCCTGGCCCCGCTCAAGCGCGGTACGGTGCATAGGGTGCCGACTTTCGGAGGCGAAAAACGATGCGCCGTACCACTCCCGGGTCGAGGATCGACGACGCCTCGGGAGAGGCCAACGCGGCACGGGGCGCGCATGGTCACCTGCGGGCACTCAGAACCAGGCCCCGCAACGACCCAGGAGCACAACGGCTCTGACCCTCGGCCAGAGCAGGAGCCCAGCTGTAGCGACCACTGGCCCAAGCGGCCATCCGCGCAGCACCTCACAGATTGACGTGCAAAGCGGCACTGAAGCCAACGGTTACAATTGGGGTTCATTGAACGTCCCTCCTCCTCCTCATCCTCCTCCTCCGCCTCCTCCCCCTTCCTCCGGCTTTTGGCGCTCGCACAGCAGGCACAAGGGCGCATCGCGCCCACTGGAGCCAACCCGTCCTTTGGGGGCCCCCAACTGCTCAGGAAGAAAACGGTGACCATGACCCAGAGTGAAGGCGGACACATCGCGTCGATCTTGGTAACCGACGACTGGGGGCAGCGTCAGTTTGTGGATCATCCTCGCCAACCAGCGACGGCCGACATGACATGGACCATGACCAAGATCGGCATCCACAAAATCCCGCGAAGTAGTGGTCATCGTACCCGTGTTCATTCCCTCGACAAACGGTGTGGTGACCACACCGCGTGGTGAGTCACTGGGGATTCGGGATCACCGCACAAGCTTGAGACTCGGGTCGTTCTCCAAGGACGTTTCGGGCGACCGGGACCTCCGAGGTCCCAAGACCGTGCAGTGACGGACCACGTGGTGAGGTCTCTGGGATTCCGCGGTCACCACGTGGTCCGTCACCGCACGGTATGGAACGCCCAAGTCCTCCCCGTCGCCCTGAGTCACAGTCCCGGTGCGGCTCACCTTCTCGCTTCCGACGTGGTGCCAACTCCGCCCTCGTCTGCCCGCGAGTCCTGCCGGAGGAGAGGCCCATCAGCAACAGTACAAGGCAATGCGCTGTCCCGCCCACACGCCGAGGGACGCATGGCTCCTTGACTCGACTCGACGTGTTTTTTTGTTTATCGTTTATAGTCGAAGAATCCGCCACCCCGCACGGGGTAATGAGTGAAAGCGACAGCAAAATAGATGAACTCAATGATCGTCATACAAAAGGCGCCTGGCTCGCGACTTCTCCGCGCCCCTCTTGACCCAGCGGCACAGTGACTCGACTCGACGTGTGCCCTCCCCCGTGCACCACGTCGGACTCGGCCACGCCGGAAGGCGGTCGGCCGCACCAGGGGCCGCAGCGGCAGCGGCGGGCTCCACGACCCAGCACCGCGCAGGCACGGGGCGCGTGCCCCTCGGCGAGGCCGCGGCCCGAGATGGGCTCAGCACGGGGGGTACACCCTGCGAAATGCTTAAGAAATCATGGGTTCAGAAATTCATAGTCTCAGAACTTGAATTAAAACCCAACGTTTCCATTAAAACCTCAGGATTTACATTGAAACATGAAGAATAATCGAGACTCTGGCCGAAAACTCAAGTTTTCTTAAGCATCGCCTAAGGGGGACTGCGCGTCCTGATCGGAGGAGTGCGTCTGACCAGATAACGCATGGCACAGGCGTCCTGCAGCGTATCGTGTTCCCCGGGCGGTGTGGCCGGAGAGCGCCCACCACGCAGCACATCATATAAGATTGTTCCACGCGCGCGACGCCCCAGGGGGGGGGGGGGGGCGACGCGCACGCCCAGGGCGCTCCAGGAGCGCGCCAAGAGGGCGCCAGGACGCCCCCTGCACGGCCCCCGAGGCCCCCCGTCGCCGAAAGATCGTGCCAAGACGCTCAAAACGGTCTCCAGATTGCCCGAGACACCCACGCTGGCTTCCAGACGGCCCACGACGCGTACAAGACCCCCGAAGAGGCCACCAAGAGGCCTCCCAAGAGAGCTCCAAGAGGGCCCCGAGAATCCAAAATCGTAAAGTGCACGATGGCTTTAAAAAGATGTTGGCGTTCTCGCCTTTTCGGCTTTCCAACGCTCCAAGACGGCCCAAGAGGCCCCCAAGACCGCCCCAAGCCGGCCCAAGAAGCCTCCAAGAGGGCCCCAAGACGGCCCACGATGGCCCCAAGACAGCCGAAGAGGCGCCCAAAATGGCTCAAGAGGGCCCTAAACGGCCCCACGAGGGGCCCAAGACGGGGACCAGGAACCGAAAAGTCCAGCCTTCAGCCCCAAGAGGCCCCCAGGAGGCCCCCCAAGAGGCCCAAGAGGCCCCAAGGGGCCCCCAAGAGGCACCCCAAGAAGCCCCAAGAGGCCCCCAAGAGGCCCCAACACGGCCTCCACGAGGCCTCAAAACTGCCTCCCAGAGGCCCCCAAGAGGCCCCAACACGACCCCCAAGCGGCGAGGCAATATGAGCCGGCGGGATGAGCGAAGCGATTAAATAATCCGCCCGCCCGCCGGGCAGAGGGGCGTGTGAGATTTAACTACGAGGGTTCCTTCCAGAGCTTCGCCCCCCCCCTTTTCCCCCCCCCGGACGCCTCCGCCATTCCGCCGCCCGGCTGCGCTCAATCCCCTTTTCCGGCCCCAAGACGGCTTCCAAACGGCGTCCAAGACGAGTTCGATTTTCACACCGCCTCCAACACATTTTCCGGGCACATTTGGGCTCTATTTTGGCTCCTTCGGGGCTCCTCTTGGGCTCCAAAAACAACTCCTGGGGCCCTCAAGAACGCCTCTTGGGCTCAACCACGCGCACAGACTGGAAACCTGCAAAATATAGCAAAACACACAAATGTTTGATGATTTTCGCCTCGCCGGGGATCGCCCGGACGCCTCTTCCGGCTCACTTCCGGGCTCGCCTGGGGCATCTTTCAGCGTGTACACTTCGACACCGCCTTTGGACACGCTCAGGAGACAATTTTGGACGATCCCGGGCTCAACTTAGACCCCCAAGCGGGGCCCAAAACGGCCCAGAACCGGCCAGGTTTTTACCGGAAGACGGACGGGGCTGCGGCCCCATGCGGGGATGCTCGCGCTTGGGTCGTCCTGAAGCCCGCCTGGGCCGCCTCGGGCTCGTCTCGGACCCTTCTCCTTGGCGCCATTGGTGCCCTTTCCGAGGCGTCTTTGGCTGGTCTTCGGCGCCGTTCTGGCTATCTCTGGCCCCCTACAGTGGATTGGGCATCCTGGGGGCGACCATCTGGGCCGCCCATCGGGAGAACCATCGAAAAACCATCGGGGCTGCCACGACGTCAACCATCCGGCCCAACGACACACATCGGAGCAAACAGAGGGCCAATCATCCAGGCAGCCATCAGGCAAACCATCGGACCCGCCGTCGCTCCAGCCATCGGGGGCATCATGGGGACGACCATCCCGGCCACCCATCGGGACACCCAAAGAAAAACCATCGGGACACCCACGATGTCACCCATCCGGCCAAACGAACGCCCACGGGAGAGACAGAGCTGCGGGACCACAACACAGACAACCTCGGGGCACAGGCCGCCCACCAGGCCCGAACGCTGTCTCTGACGCCCCGACCACGTCCACCCCAAGACACCGCGCCATGCGCCCATTGACGTTCCTCAGACGTCGGGGACGCGCGACACCCGATGCGGACCCATCCTTCTCTCGCCCGGCTCGCTCGCCTCTCCGTCGTCCGAGGGGGCAGCGCGCCTCATCCGGCGAGAGCACGAATGGGCGGGCGGTGAACGCGAAGCGTCTTGAATAATAAGATTGTTCGAGACGCGCGCGACGCCCTGGGAGGGGGGGGCGACGCACACATTGAGTACGCTCGGTTGCAATCAGCATCGAAGGGGGAAATCGTATCGGATCGCAGTATGCTTCGGATCGGGCCGCATCGCCACGGATTCGGCATCGAATCGGATCGGCTGGGCCAGGATGCACAACAGCGCCGTGCCAGAATCGGGCCGCCTCGGATCGTCAGAGTATCGGGACCAAAACGGATCGAATCATGGCCGAGACCGATATCTTGGGGGGCGGAAAGATACGGATACGTGTTGTCCCCGGACCTCTCTTGGGTTGCGTTCTGACCAAAATTTCGAGGCGAATCCAGCGGTGACAACGAGGATTCCCCAGGAGGGCCAGGAAAGGCCGAAAACGAAGGGGGACAACACGTATCCGTATCTTTTTCTCCCCCGAATATCGAATCGGATCGATCAGAGCGAAAGGAACCCTGCGAGGTCGGAGATGTGCAGCACGGAGGGCCCCTTCTCCACCCGGAGCGCCCGGCGATCGCCTCCGAGGCGAGCGGACGGCGCCCAGCCGCTCGGGCCGCGCAGACCCCGCCCGCTCGATGCCTCGCGCCTCCAGCGGAGGCAGAGGACGACGACGACGACGGCGACGACGGCGACGACGACGACGACAACGACGACGACGACGACGACGACGACGACGACGACGACGACGACGACGACGACAACGACGACGACGACGACGACGACGACGACGACGACGAGGACGACGACGACGACGACGACGACGACGACGACGACGACGACGAGGACGACGACGACGACGACGACGACGACGACGACGAGGACGACGGCGACTGCGCGCGCCCGACGCTCCCTGCGCCGCGCAGACCCTGCCCGCTCGATGCCTCGCGCGTCGAGTTGCAGCGCGGATGCCGGCCGCGCGAGGGAGGAGGCCGTCGCTGCAGCGGGCAAGCCCATTGATTAGTGAGAGGGCTTGTGGAAGGGGACCCGACATTGGCTGGCACGACCGTC